GTGGTGGGCCCCGCGGCCCACCCGTCAACAGGAGCCACTCGGTGCCGGAGAACATGGTGGAGCCGCCTCTGTCGGCCAGGGTGGGCCGCTGCCGCAGCCTGAGCACCAAGAGGGGCCGGGGAGGCGGAGAGGCTGCCCGATCCCCTGGGCCTCTGCCCCAGAGCAAGCAGGACGGAGGCGAGACCCTGTATGTCACTGCAGACCTCACCCTTGAGGACAACCGGCGGGTGATTGTCATGGAGAAGGGACCCCTTCCCGGCCCCACGGCGGGGCTAGAGGAGAGCAGTGGTCAGGGACCAAGCTTGCCGGGGGCCCTGCTGGGGCAGGGCCAGGACTTCCAGCAGTCTGCAGAGTGTCGGCTGAAGGAAGAGGGTCCCAGGGACCCGGCAGACCCGAGCCAGCAGGGTAGAGTGAGAAACCTCAGAGAGAAGTTCCAGGCCTTGAACTCTGTTGGTTGATGCTGACTCCTAGGGGAGGGAGGAGTCATGTTGGAGGTTGGGGAAGAATCTGGGCATCCTTCCCCTCAAGCCTGGGCTCATGGAGCCCCTGCCCAGGGTCCCCTCTGCCCTTCGGGAAGGATGCTCCCGTGTGCAGGGGTCTCCTGCCTGTGCCATCCGCTGGGGCTCGAGACAACTTCCCACTCACCTATGAGGCTGGTGTGGCTGCTTCCCTTGTAAATAGTTCTTTTCTGGTAAGAAGCCAAATATCGAAGCTCACCTCTTCCCAGAGAGCAAGCTTTGCTCAGGCCTGCAGCGTTGGCTGGCCATGGCCACAGCCAGACCGAGGAGCCCACCCCCAGCGAGACTCAGGCAGTGGCCTGGAGAGGCTTTACTCTGTAACTGTGGCTTTTCTTAGGGTCCAGGTAGGAATGAAGCCGATAATTTATTGCTTTCCATTCTGTGGTATGATGTGCGCGTGCGTGAGTGTGCGGCCTCTGTTTATTCCCCTCCTGTCAAGAATGAAGTGGATGCAGTTCAGGTACTTTTGAGGGTTGTTGCGCTGACCCTGTGGTTGTCGCTGATGTACACACATTTCATTATTTGCCAATGGTGCAATAACCACTGCTGACCAACCCACTATGTGTGAACTCCTTCCTGGGCCTGGCTGGGGTAGGGAAGGTTATTCGTGGGCCAGGGATGTCTTAGGGAGATGGAGACATGGAGGTGGTTCCTTCCACACTCATTGGTCACCTGAGCTCATGAAACATAAGGCACTTGGGTACTGGTAGGGGAGGTGGGGCAGGAGGATGTGAGGTTGGGAGCTTGCTCTCTGCTGCCTAGACTCCCATGGGCTTCTCTGTCAAGCAGCAGCCTGCTGTCCTGTCTAGGGTAGAGAGTCCCGCATGCCAGCCTTTTGCTCTTTTCCCCAAGGGCCAGAGTTGGACTAAAAAAAGGGAGGTGGTGAGGTAGACCGTTTTTCTCATAAGCAGAAGTTCCCAGTATCTGGTGCCTTTTGCACTTCTCTCCAGTTCCCAGGAAACGTCCTAGAAGGCAAGGATTCTTTTTTTTTTTCTTTTTTTTAAAAGAGATGGAGTCTCATTCTGTCACCCAGGCTGGAGTGCAATGGCGTGATCTTGGCTCACTCCAACCTCCGCCTCCCAGGTTCAAGCGATTCTTGTGTGTCAGCCTCTCAAGTCGCTGGGACTATAGGCACGAGCCACCACACCCAGCTAATTTTTTGTATTTTTAGTAGAGACGGGGTTTTGCCATGTTGACCAGGCTGGTCTCAAACTTCAGACCTCAGGTGATCCACCCACCTCGGCCTCCCAAAGTGCTGGGATTACACGGGTGAGCCCCTGTATCTGGCTGAAGGCAAGGATTCTAAACTTGGAGACTAGAAATGTCCTAAAGGTGTCTGCAACATTGGATGAGGAGTACTAGTGCATTTTTCTGGGATGATTCCTCCCTTTTTATCACATTCTCAGAAGTGTCTTTGATTCAGAAGAGTTAGGAATGCCTCCCTATTTCAGCTGGGTTTTCTGCCCTTTCTCCACAGTGGTCCGGCCTCATTTTGCTCAATTTTTTTTTCTGACTGGGGCCTGGGAGGTGGACGCTGCAGGGCCTGGATGGTAGAGCTGCCTGACAAGTGTTCAGCGGGGCTGCTGGGCCAGGGCCCTGTGGGCCTTCTGACCCAACTTGAAGATGGGTCTGCTGAGTCTAACAAGGTCAAGGGAAGATCAGAGGGACCTAGATTCTTTTTTTTCCCCCACTTGAAATGGAGTCTTGCTCTGTCACCCAGGCTGGAGTGCAGTGATGCAATTTCGGCTCACTGCAACCTCCACCTCCCTGACCCTCACATTGTCCAGTGCCCTTGTGGTTACTCAGCATCATATCTTGAGACTGGCCTGGCAGGAGCCAGTGACTGTGGAATGACCACAGAAGATTCAGGGCAGCTGCCAGACCAGGGGCTACCTCTGCCCTTCGCTGTTTCTGCTCAAGAGAGGTTGTCACTAGCCTCTGATCTTCCCTTAAAGAACCCAACTGGGGCTCTTCAGAGGGTGGGGCCCAGGAAGTTGTAGTTAACCCCTTCTCCAGGCAGTCCTTACACAGCCATCTAGGTATGCCTGGGAACCTTGCACCAGGTGGGTGGTTCTCACTGGCTGCCCATTGGAATCATCTGAGGAGCCTTTTGGAAACGGTGCTTACATTCCATCTCCCTAGACCAACAGAAACCGCCCTCTGGAGGTGAATCCCAGGCTTAGAGATTCTGATGATTCTGTGGTCCAGGAGTGCTGAGATCCGTCCTGAGTTCTGTGGGGAGGGGCCTGGACTGATCATTGCTCGGAAATGATTTTGCCCTACAGCAGGCCTTCAAGTTGATCAAATGCATGAATGAGCAAGCTTTTCTCGGAGTTTGTGGTGAAGCCCAGGACCTGGGTGCTTGCAGTCGTCCCCATAAGGCTCCCAGGGACAAGCTGGAGAGTCTGGCTGTCCCTCTGTCTCCATGGTGCCAGCCCTCTTAGACCCAGTTCAAAGGGAGAGGAGGCTAGTCAAATAAGAAACTGAGAGAAATATGGAGCATTATTGATTTATTAGAAAAACTAGTAAATGGGATTCCTCTGGTTGGTGGAAGCACGGTTGAGCAGGTGGAGGACAGGACCCAGCTGGCCCCAGGGCCAGCCCCAGATTGCATGGTCTGTGCCCAACAGGGTTGCACTCCTCTGCAGCCGCCGCCTCCTCGTTTCCTCCCTGAGCTTGTTTGTCCAAGCCACCAAGCCATGTGGTCCCACTGGCTTCGTCCTCCTCTGGATTCCTGCCCCCCTCCCATGAAGGAAGGAAGAGGATTCAGGGTCGGCCTTGGGGACCCTGGTTGCCTCCGATAGGCAGGAAGGAGGAGGGATGTGGAGGAGAGGCTGAGCCTTCCACGGGCCTCCTGTTAGGGGTGCTAGTGGAGGCCAGGTTGGGGAGGAAAGCCCAAGGACCCTCCACACCTCCCATAGCCAGTCAGTTGAGGCCGGGACAAAGGGGAAGGAGAGGGAAGGAGGACTGCCTGCCCGTGCCCGGAAGGAGCTTCCTCTAAACTGCCCTGGGGAGGAAGCCTGGTATGCTGGTGTGGACTGGAGCTGTGTCAACCTAGTTTAGGAATACTGTCAAAGAAAAGACTGTAAAGTAGAATAAGGAGAGAAAAAAAAAGACCTTGCCAGGGTACTGGGAGAGCTTAGCCCTGTGTGGCACAGGGCCTCCCAAAGCTGGATGCCTGCGGTTTCAGTCCAGTTGGTCGAATGTCTTGGGGCCTGGGTGACAGGAGGGATGTGTGGGGAGCTGGCAACAGAATGGTCACATGCAGCTGGCTGCCCTGGACCAGCCCGGGGGACCTGGGGTGGTGAGATGCTAGCTCTTCCACTGGAGTCCTTCTTTTCTTGGGTCTGTGGAGTTGCTTGCTGGAAATGACTCACTTCAGGTGCTGATTTGGCACACGTGGAAGGGGGAGGGTGGGCCCTTGTCCCTTGGCTCCCTAAAGACTGGCCGAGGGAAACAGTTGAGGGAGATGCTTGCCACCATCTGCCCTTCAGCAAGGAACCTGCTTTCTGCCCCAGAGGACATACCCGCAAGTGCACCAAAGGCCTACTTTATTGCTAGGTGAGTGCAGTCATCTCACTGCCTTGGTTTCCCCAGATACAGAAAGAGGCTGGTGAGTGGTACACACTAGGTTCCCTGTATAGGATCATATGCACTGAAGCCCAATGAAGACCTTGCCCACCAGGGCGGGAACCTGGGGATATCAGGCTCCATTGGATGACGTCTTCCTTCCTGTAGCTCCTGCCTGCTGCAGTTGGTGTCTCCCTGACAGTGTCAGAGCCACAGGGTGGGACTGATTTCTGCTGGCACTGGTCAGCACTCAGGGTTCCTCAGGGGGCCTCATTCTGGATGCCTGCCCCTGTGGCTTCTACCTGAACCTCACCTCCTTCATCTCCATGGAACTAAGGTCCTTCACACAGGGAAAGTGATAGAAACTGCCTGCAGGCCCTGGGGACTTCTATGGTTTCCCTGGGGGAGAATGCTGCCACCCGCACCCCACCTGCTTGACTCCTCTCTTGGACCTAACCCTAGTTAGATACTGGGCCAGAACTGTGTTGCTTTCAGAGTAGAGTGGTGGGAAAATCCTTGTGGAGTGACTTTTCTCTCCCTCCAGAAGTATGACCTGGGCAGCAAGGGGAAGGCCATTCCTGAAGACGTAGGTTGCAGAACTTGTGGCCCTCAGGGCTGGAAAGTGGTAGATATTTGACCTCTGTACTCATGTGACACTCCCCGCCACCCCCCACCCAAGACCTGGGGCCAAGACCTTCTGGAGAAGCTGATCAAGGGGTACCACACCTTCACGGCTGTGGCCCCGACATCTGTCCCAACTGTGCAGGGGTAGCTGTCACGGGTGGTGATGTCAAGGCATGGCTGCATCTGCCACCCCGAGATGATAGGTGATCAACTTTGTTGTCTGCCCAGCCGTACCTTCCGAAGTCCCAGCTGCAGACAGGATGCAGTTGGACATTTGGCTTTGGGATGCTTCACTGCAGGGGTATCCATCTTGTATCTGGGGGCCCACACTGTCCCCTAGGGGGCCTACATCTGTCGGATATTGCTGGTTTGGCTGCCACTGGGAGTCGGGGGAGGGTCCTAGCATCGAGAGGGACAGCCTTAGGCAGTGTTGTGACCTACTCCTTCAGATCACAGCCCTGTGCCCTAGCCACAGTTTTCAATGAGGAATGGTCTGACCTTGCTGCCCCTCCTGGGACTGCCTGTGGTGGCACAAGGGTGCTGGAGGCACTCAGCCAGGCCCTGCCAACCGTGGAGGGTGCCCTTTGATCTGGGGGGAGAAGCAGAGAGGAGGGATGTGGTGGCCCCTGAGGTGAGAGTTCCAGTTCTGCGGAAGCCCAGCGGGGAGGAGGTTGGCAGCACCCAAGGCCCTGCACCCAGTCTGGTCCCCTCAGCCCCCCACAGCCCCTGACCCAGAGCTAGGGCTTTGTGGGCCACCTGAAGGCTCCTTCCTCATGCCCCTAGGTGGCTGGCCATGCATTTCCAGTGCCCTCCTCCTTTCCCCTTTCCCTGGCTGCCACCAGGTGGGAGGTGACCCCAAGCAAGACTTGCTTTAGGAACGGGCAGCGTTTGAGGAACCCCATCAGCCTTCTCCAGCTCTTTTTTTTTTTCTTTTTTTTTTGTTTGGTTGGGGGTAAGGGGCCTGCGCACCCTCGGCTCAGGAGGAGGGTGGGAGAGGAAGGCGTGTGCCTCAGAGAACCGTTTCCTGCCCCCAGGCCTGGAGGCCCCGAGGGCGCCAGAGGAGCTGGGAGCCCCTGTCCCC